AATCAGTGCAACTCCTTTTCCTCTCTGGCGAATCTCACTTTCTGCAGAAGCCTGCAGACTTCCTTTAGAAGGGAAACAAACTTGGGGTTGGTAGAAGGATGGTTCCTTCAGAATTCTGATGAGTCTCACTTTCCAGAGGGACATAGCCTTGTGTATCTTGCCGTAATGCTCCTGGCTTCTCCTCTTTCCCAAAGACTGCTCTTTGATCTTAGCTCTACAGAAAAGCGAAAGGACAGAAGGAAAAAAGAGATGGTTGGCTCCTTTTCATAGGTGAGCATAAAGGACAGTGGCCATTCCACATAGTCCATCATTATAGTCAATGAATTCATGTTGAGGTGAACCCCTTCAGTGAAATTCATTCTCCAAGAGGCATCAAGTGGTGTGGCCATACACCACCTGGAAGGTACAAAATCCCAAACAAAGGCTTTTAGGTCTTTGTTAGGCTTCTTTAGGCCTGCAACTTGATGAGGGAACTCTCCTCTACCATGAAATAACATGACTAGACTAGATGTTTTTTTTTAAGGCCCCTTGCAGCTCTGACATTCCATGCTTTAAGGCCCCTCCTAGCTTTAACATTCTGTGTTCTCAGGATCCTCTCAGATTTGACATTTTAAGGCCTTTTCCAACTCTGTGGAATGTGGAACTATGTGAGAAAAATCATTAAGCTGCTACTACCCTTTAACCCAGGGATCCTGCTGCTGGGCATACACCCCAAGGAGATTAACAACAGAAAGAAATGCCCCATCTGTACAAAAATATTTAAAGCAGCAATTTTCATGGTAACAAAAGGTTGGAAATAAAGTAAATGTCCATGGATTGGTGCACGACTAAACACATTTTAGTATAATGGAATATTGTGCCATGAAACATAATGAATACAAGGAACTGAGTAAAACAAAAAAACTGTATGATCTTAGGCAGATCAGATAGAGTAGAACCAAGAAAACAATATATCTATAGTGACTACAGCACTGGAAATGGAAAAAAAAAAAACACTAAAAGGCATAATACAGGATGTCCCCAAAGTCTAGCATTTACGTAATGCTTTAGGGTTTGCAAAGGACTTTACAAATATTATCTTATTTGATCCTTACAACAATCCTGTGAGGTAGGTGCTATCACTATCCCCATTTTACAGATGAGGAAACTGAGGCAGACAGTGGTTAAATGACATGCCCAAGGTCACAACTAATAAGTATCTGAGGTCAGATTTGAACTCAGATCTTCCTGATTCCACTACTAAACTTAAGTTGTATTGATCGTTCTTAGTCCCAGCAACCAGATAACGAAGAACACTTTCTTCTTCTTGGTAACGAGGTAGGCGACTGCAGCTACTTTTACTCTCAGCCAAGTTTGCTTTGTTCATGTTTTGCTTAACTTTTTCTTTGTCATGAAGGAGGATTCAAGGGGTGGTATAGTGGTAAATGATCATGATACTTTTAAACAAGATATCAATAAAAAAATTTTAACCATTAAATGAATTACATCTGCTCACGAATCCTGGAGCCCATCTGGAGATTGATGCCCAAGTCCCTTTCCCAAAAGGCTAAATGACTTCAGAGGCCTTATTAGGAGTGGGCAGGTGATAAAGGCAAGAATGATGATAAATTGAAGATGAACCAAATACTGCCCAAATCCTAAGAGCGTTTGACTCTCAAATCATAGGAGCTGCTCAAAGTGCCCATGTTTTTGGCACTGTGATTGTGAATAGTGAAAGGGGGTCTGAGGGCCCGCTTTCCACCAATCACACCAGGGCATTAGGGTGCCAGCTTAGGGTGGCTTCTCCCCTCCCTCAACCAATGCTAAAAAGCTACCAAGCCACTTACTGAATCATTTGAAAAGTTAAGTGGCTTTGTCGGCAAGCATACGCCCCATTCTCTACCCGTTGTTCTCCATGTTTGTGCTGAAAGGATAAAGCAAGCTTCATCATCCACCCTCTGAGACCAGTACTGGCCAACGTGATAAAGCGGCCTTTTGGGCTCATTTCCATTTCCATTGTTGTGGTCACTGTGTGGATCATTCTCTTAGTTCTATTCCTCTGGCTCTGTCTCATACAAACCTTCTCATGTTTCTCAGGGTTGTCCTTTCTTATAGTAGAACTACAAAAAGTCTTGAAGGCCAAATGGTCCAATTCCTTCATTTTACGATGGGTAAACTGAGGCCTGGGGAGGTCCAGTGACTTGCCCCAGTTCACCCAGGTTTTCCAACTCCAAATCAAGGGATTCTTTCCACTCCACTGTGCTGTTGTGAAGCCATTTTGGCTCCCCCCACAGCAAGTCAAGTCAAGTCGAGTCAAATCAAATCATCAGATGTTTATTAAGCACCTACTGTGTGGCAGGCTAAGTGCTGGGAATGCAAAGAATGGCAAAACATCCCCCGCTCTCTAGGAGCTCGCAGTGCAGCAGAGGAGACAATAGGAAGAAAATTGTGTGCAATGAGGACTTGGGGGAAGGGGACTGGTAAAGGGGACTGGTAAAGGCTTCTTGTGGAAAGTGGTATTTGAAGGAAGCCAGGAGGCATCGGAGGCAGCCAGCGACAATGCAGTCAGGAGATAGGCTGTCTTGTTCCCGAAATGGCAAGAAGGCCAATGTCACAAGATCACAAGAGGCAGATGTCAGATAATTGGAAAGACTGGAGGGGCCCAGGTTACGAAGGGTTTTAAACACCCAACTTTGGGGTCACATAAAGTCAAAGAGGCGAGAATCAACAATCTGCCAGAAATCAGAGGGCTATCTCTCCAAGCTCTTTAGAAATCCTGTTTTCAAGACAATGTGTTGATGTTCCTTCTCCCTGGAGAGAGGATGCTTTTACTCCTGGGATCATCTTAATTTGGGGTCTGCTGACTCCCTGAGCTCACTCTTACCTTAAGCAACTGTGACTCACTCCCTAATTTCCCATTTCCTCTCTGGGGACCCAAGGCTCTGTTTATTTTTATCTCTGGAATGGAGCTAAGTTGCTAGGAAGATGATCTTATTCTACCCACGAGGGCCCTATCGATTTACTGCAGTGATAGAAGGGCTTGTGAATCCATCTGCGTGAGTGTTTGCTCCCCCCCATGAGACCTCTCCACCCCCAAGCCTCGGTAGATTGTTTTCTTGAGTTGGTGGAAGACAAAAAAAAATCATCACCTGGTGGCCAATTGATTTATGAATTTTTCACGATTCATTTTTTGTGTAACGACCCCAGGCAAGGCAAGGAGCCGTATGCTACATTTGTAACTCACTCAAAGGGAGGAAGGGGAAGCAAGAGTGATTGGGCTAACTGGGTGGAGGGTGGGTGCACCCCTGGGAGCTAAGAGGGAGCCAAGGCTTGGCTCTGAAATTCCAAGAGGAGGCAGAGATCGCCAAATCCACCCTTTACAGCACCCTGAAAAGAATGAACCAGAAGCAGGAGCTCGAGGATGCATCTGTTATGTGGGACACAGAAAATGAATTCCGTCTGCGCTCTGCCCTCAACCCAACAGCGAGTGCTGATTCTGCCTGGTCCGATGCCTGCCAGGTGAAGTTATCAGGCTGGTAGGGCTGGAAGGGACTTTGCAGATGTCTAAGGGAGTCCAGTCATCTCCCAGGATCTTAGAGCTAGAATGGTCCTTAGGAACCACTGACTCCAACCTGCTCATTTTATAAAGGAAGCTGGGGCACAGGGTGACCTTCACAAGGTCATTCAGGTAGGAAAGGGCACCACACCATCAGAAAGCATACGCACTGTTCTGCACCCATATTCCCTCACTTCTCTACTGAGAGGAGGAATCATGGGAATCCTAAGTCTAGAGCTAAAAGGGGAACAGTGTTTCTTCGTTTCCATGCTAGTCATGGGATTTAGAGACTGGCTATCTTCTGGTGTTGTTTTCCCTCCTAGTACAAAGATTTTGGGGGCAGCTAGGTGGAGCAGTGGATGGAGCACCTGGCCTGGAGTCAGGAAGACCTGAGTTCAAATCCAGCCCCAGACATTTACTAGCTGTGTGCAAGTCACTTAACCTCTTTTTGCATAGGTGAAGTAGTGGATAGAGCACCCGGGCGTAGTCAGGAAGGCCTGAGTTCAAGTCTGACTTCACACTTATTACCTGTGTGATGCTAGGCAAGTCACTTAACTCTGTTTGCCTCAGTTTCCTTATCTGTAAAATGAACTGGAGAAGGAAAGGGCAAATCATTCCAGTATCTTTGCCAAGAAAACCCCAAATGGGGTCACAAAGAATCAGACATGACTGAAACGACTGAACAACAACAAAGCTAGGTAGCACTGGGTCACTAAATATTCAGGAAGACCAGAGTTCAAATCCTGCCTCAGACACTAACTGTGTGACCTTGAGCAAGTCACTTGATCTCCATTTGCCTCATTTTTCTTTTTTGTAAAATGGGGGATAATAATAGAAGCTACCTTGCACATTATTATTATTGGAGAATCAGATGAGATAATACTATGCTTAGCACAATGCCTGGTACATAATAAGCACAATTAAAATGTTAGCTATTATTATTTACCTAATTGCCATCCTTGTTCACCTGGGTCTACTTCTTCCCTCTGCGTAATTTCATACCAGTTTTCCCAGGTTTCTCTGAATTCTTTTCATTGGTCATTTCTTAGAGTGCAATAAAATCCTTTATACCTAGATGCCATATTTTGTTCAGTCATTCCCCCATCAGACAGTCCCTATGCATCATCTGTCACGGCTATGCACTAGCTGTAGTCTCCCATGCCAGGAATGCCCATCCTCCTTGCCTCTCTCTGCCTTTTGGAACTCCTCATACCCTTCAAGAATCAGCCTAAGCACCACCCACTAAAAGAGGAGACCTCCCCTGATCCCCCAACAGCTAGTGCTCCCCCAAAACCCACTTTGTATTTCTTTCGCAGAGGGGCATGTGGCACATTGAATAGAAGCCTGGCCTCAGCGTCAGGAAGACCCAGTGGCTGAGACTTTGAGAATCCAGGCTCACCTCCCTCCACCACAGGGTGTCAAAAAAAGATGTCCTCAGAGGTCACTGATCACACACTTGCTAAAAGCATTTCTTAAATCAATTTTTATTGCAGACAATAATATAGCATGGGGTTCCCTGGGCCTCAATGCTGGATGATTGACCCACCCGTGGTCACAAGCTCATTTATTCTGGTTCATGGGTAGCAGGGAAGAGAGGGTTAGTGATTGACAACACTCTGTTTCACCTCGAAGAGCAGAGGCAACCTCTCCCCCCAGATCTGAGAGCCAGGTGACATGAATGGAAATTAATGGTAAATGGTGGGTAAAAAGCACAGAAAATATATAAAATGGGGCCAAGATGGGAGAAGAGAGTAGCTGACTCAGTTTTTCATGTTGACATTACATAAGAAAGCACATCATATTGAAAACTTGATTATAAATGAGAATAAAATCCAACTGCATAGAAAAAAAAAGATAAAACAAGACAGAATGGGAGGGAGGGGAGAAGGGCCCTCTCTCACAGTTGGCTTCTCCTCCTCTGGCCCCTGGAATGAAAAGTCAGTGGGTTTCATAGAAATTCTCTGTAGAAAGGAATGTCTATGGTCTGTGTACTGGATGGCCTTTGACCAAGGTCTTGCCTCGAGGTTGGCGTGGTTCCTCATAGAGGAAAAGAAGGTGCCTGTCCAAGGAATCTGCCCCACCCGATGTTCGTCTGAGTTGGGAATGTGGGCCCGACTCTTCCTTGAAAAGCAGATCTTGTTGGTGGGGACGCCCAGACCCTGGCAGCAAAGACGGGGGCTGTCCAGAGTCAGGGGCTAGTGGGCTTTGGCTGGACTGTGTATGTGGCCCACTGGGAGTGGGTGGGCTTCTGTGTTGAATACCCAGTCTTCCAAGGAGAGGAGATCATCTTCAGAGAACAGCAAATAGAGGTACCTGCATACCAACGGGATGGATGGGAAGACGTTGTTAGTTGTTCACCCCGGAAGAATGAATGCTACAAAGCCCCTTATCCTGCTAGCAGTGGAGGCAGTGAGAAAAACTGACCAGACCAGCATGATGGGTGGAAGTTAGGAGGAAGGCTATAGTCCAACGAGCTGAGTGACCTCTGGGCAAACCACCTTCCCCCTCAGTTTCCTCATCTGTAAAGTGGGGACAAGAACTTGGACTTTGCCTCCTTCACAGGTTTGTTGGCTGGGATCAAATGAGCTCATGGATATAAAAACGCGTTGGAAAACAGGAAGCAAAAGAGTGTCACCATTCATGGACCCAGGGCTGAAAATATGGGGAGCTTATGGACATGGGGAAGGGGTCCAACAGCTCTGAAAGACAGTCAAAAACTGTGTCTTCAGGTCGGCAGGGGCGCTACTCTTCACTGTACCTTCTCCAGACAGAACACTGTGGGCCAGGGCCTCCCATCCAGGCTAGAATGAAGACAACCAGGATCCCCAAAGTCAACATTCTCAGCACCCCAAATCCACTCTACAGCTCTGTTTCCTGGGCTAGGGACTTCTCATCTCACTCCGGGATTACTGACCTAACTCCCTCATGACTTCCAGCCTCCCCAGTCCAGTCGACGAGATCTATTTTCTTAAAATACGACTTTAATTATAGAATCACAAATGCCAAGAGTTGGAAAGGACTTCAGAGGTCATCTAGTACTTACAGGGCACTGGACTTGGTGTTGGGAAGACCCCTGGTTCAACTCCCATTTCAGATACTTTCCTGGGTCACTCTGGACTTAGTTGTGGGAGGCCCTAGACAGGTGGTCAGGCAGTAATCCAGGGGGGCAGAATATTAGAGCCTTTGTGAAAATCCCTTCATTTTACAGATGAGGAAACTGAGACCCAGAGAGTTCTACTAGCAGCTGGTGCTACAAGAAACCCCAACTGGTGAAGGTATACATATGTATATATGTGTATATATATATATATACACACACACACATGTATATATGTCTGTATGTATATGTATGTATATGCATGTACACATGTATATGTATGTAGGTATAGCCCATAGATCCCTTCCTTTAGCCCTGCATGTATGTGTGTATATGTACATACATATGTGCATATGCATGTATATATGTACAGATGTACATGTTATGTATATATAGCCCACAAATCCCTTCCTTCAGCCCTACTAAGGAAAAGCCCCATCCTCCTTTCACAGTCCCACCACAAGCTGCTGCTGCCTTCTGACGACTTTTTCCCCCTTTAAGATTGCTCTGGATATTAATTTCAACCCAATCTGACTTTTAGTAAAATGCAGGGGGAAAGGGAGAGAGGAGAGGACCCATTTGTAACTAGCTCTTCTGGCCTAGGAGGGGGACCTCAAACTTGGGACAGAGAGAGAGATGTCTGTCAGACCTTAGGACACAAGACCAGGAGGGTGGAGGGAGCAGAGAGACCCTGGGACATCATCTCCTTGAAGGAAAACAGAGACCCCAAGACCCCAGGGCACCAGGAGGCTGCTCCTGGGCAGAGCAGGAAGGAAGCAAACTGGGGTCAGCCCTGGAGAAACTCAGCCCCGGGGTTGGAGGATGGAGATCCATCCATTTTAATGCTTGTTCTTGCTAAGTAGGTGCTAAGTTCAGTTGTTTTTAATCTAGAGCCAGGTGTTGTCAGCACTCTGGGGGTCAAGGTCCCTGTGGTCTTGCCCTAGTTATTGCTTTGAGAAAAAGAGACTTCGTGTAATTTGCCCCAAGCCCCAACCTTCCCCGAGCAAACACCTTTGGTTCCTCTTCGGGAGAAGGAAGGAGCATCTTCCAAAAGGCCTGGACTTACTTTAGTGTCTCTGCCAGGAAAAAACTCTGTTGCATGTTATCGTGCTCGGGAAACATAGTATAAACATTTCGGATCCCCGAGAAGCCTGTTTCTGTCCGACAGTATTTTTCTAGGGCCTAGAAAAAAAGGAAGGGAATATTAGCATATCACAAATAGTGGGAATGAAAGCCCTGAATAGGGCCTTGGGGCAGTGGTCAGCTCTAGATGGGTTATTTCTTTGATCAGAAAATCTCTTCAATGATGAAGCAGATGATGAAGATGAAGATGATGAGGATATCAGACATTCACATAGGACTTCAAGTTTGTAAAGCACTCTAGAGTTCCACCGGTCCTTAGAGATACTTTATCTTCATTTTACAGAAGAGGAAACCGAGGCCCAGAAAGGGTAGGTGATTTGTCTAAGGTCACATGTCAAGTTAGCAGCCAAGTCTAAACTTGAACTTCTGATGCTGAGTCTTCCCATTATGCCTGCTGCCTTCAGTATTATCAAAAGTGACCTTACCATTCAAGGAAAATATGACCAAATCAAGAAACAGAAGGGGTTACCTGTCCCTTCCTTTCCAATTTCAACAGGTAGGTAAAGTTTCCTGCTTCCCCATTCCTGTTGCTCTTCCCATTTCCACCAATAACCTCCTTAGCTTATTGTATAGAATCTGCTGTTCCTCTCCCCTTTCTCCCAGGTCACCCAGGACTTCTTTCTACCATATTTCTACATGTCTGTGACTGAACACTTAAAACAATCTGTCTTTCAATATTTCCTGGTCAGGTTTCCTATCTAATAGGATCAGTTGATCAAGCATTTATGAAGGGCTTACTATGTGTCAGGCACTAGGTCACATCTCAGGAATACAAAGACAAAAGTAAAACAACGTTAGCCTTCGAGGAACTGACATTCCACTGGGAGAAACAACACGTGGGCCTTTTAGGTCCAAACAAAACAGGCTGAATCCCTCCTTCATATAACAGGCTTTTAAATACTTGAAGAAAATGATCATTTCCCCACCTCTACCTCCAGCCTTTTCTTCTCCAGGCTAAACATGAATGGTTCCTTTATTTGATTCTCAAGTCCCCTCACCATCCCAGTCACCCTCCTCTGGACCTAGCAATGATGTAATGCAAATAAGACTGAGAACTCCAGGGGCAGGATCTGTGGCCTCATGCCAGATCAGCTCTAACTTACCTCAATGACTTCAGGGAGTGCTACCAATAAAACTGTACTTGCTGGAGTATGTCCTCCAGCTCTGGTCAAGTCACAGGCCAGGAAGGCCTTGCTTAAATAATAACCATGGTGATGATGATGATAACAATAACAACAATAATCCCAAATTCCTATAGTGCTTCCTTTATCTCCTCCTTGTCTTCTTTTAATTTTTTCCCTTTTTTATTATGAATTTAACAATCAATAAACATAAACAATTCATTATTTGAATATTCAACTGTGAACTTTTATGTTCACATATGCTTATATTCTTATAAAAGTTATATGAAACTACTTTTGTTTATTTTCCAAAGTGTCTGTAAAGTCACAAAAGGTAGCAGCAAGGTTGCCCCTTTTCTTTGTCGAGGGTGAGACTCACAGGTGGGGAGGGGGTGGGGGGACAGGGACGGGCACTCCCTCCCCTCCAGCTTGGTCCTTACCTCCACAACTTCCCAGCCCCACTGGCGGTACTTGGGGTCGTGAGTCAGGCGCCACATGTACATGTAACTTTCCACCACCTCCGGCCGCAGAATGTAATAGCTCTCGCTCGGGCTGGACGTTGTGGCTTCGCTCCCGAAATCAAACCAAAACACCTCCGGTCCCAGCTTGGTGTCTGGGGGGGGGGCCACAGGACAGTCAGTCACGGTCGCTTGCCTTGATGCGCAGGGATCCTGGTCCCCGACTCTCTATGCTGTAGGAGTCCTCAGAGACCACCCAGCCCAGGCTTCTCTCTAACACAGTCTGCAAACGGCCATCCTGCCTTTGCCCGAAGACCTGCTCTGGGCAGCCCGTTCCGTCCATGCACAGTTCATGGTTAGGAAATTTAGACAGCTAGCCCAAACTGTCCCCTTGGCAACTAGAAGCTCAGGCTCTGCCTTCTGGGGCCAGGCCAAACATATCAGATCCTTCTTCAAAGCCTTGAAGACAGATAGCTCCCTTGCCCCATCCTGCCACCCCACACCCCAGTATTTTCTTCTCAATTCAATTCAGCAGAGGATTTGTTCAGAGGAAGGCAAAGGCTCATCGGATTTGGGGTCAGAAGACCTGGGCTCTGTTTCTGCTCCCTACTAGCCATGTGATTTCTGCTAAGGTCTTTTCCTTCTGTGGGCCCCAAGGCCATCATCTGTAAAATGAGGAGGGGCAGACTAGATGATACTATTAGCCAGCGTTTCTACAGTGCGCCAGTTTACTAATTACTATCCTCGCCATAGCCCTGTGAGACACACAGTGCAGACACCATCATTCCCATTTTAAAGATGAGGAAACTGAGGCTCAGATAAGGGAAGTGACTTGCCCAGGGTGATCTGACAGCTAGTTTGTTTGCAACGCACTCTTCTCTAAACTCCTTTCAAGCCCTAAATTCCATGATCCTTTTGCCAGGAGAGTAATCAAATGAATGGCCAGTAGTTACATGAATTAATGAATGAAAAAGCATTTATAAAAAGCTAATTATGTGTCAGTAATAATAATAACTAACATTTATATAGCACTTACTTTGTGTCAGGCACTGTGGTAAATGCTTTACAATGATCTCATTTGATCCTCACAACAACCCTGAGAGACAGGTGCTGCTTTGATCCCCATTTTACAGGTAAGGAAACTGAGGCAAGCAATGGTGAAGTGACTTGCCCAGGATCGCACAGCTAGTAAATTTCTGATGCTGGATTCGAATTCAGGTGTTCCTGACTCTAGGCCAGGTTCTCTATCCACTGCACCACCCACCAGCCAAGCACTGGGAGTACTAATACAAAGCAATGATGGCTCTTGCCCTCAAGGAACCTATATCATTTATAAAATAATTAATTAAAAAATTAAAAACATGTATAGTCAAGGCAACAAATTCCTTCCTTAGGCATGATAAATATACACATACCTACTCATACACACATGTATATGTGTGTGTATTTGTGCATGCCTTAATCTGTACTTTGTTTCTCATTTCTCTAGTAGGTGATGGGTAGCCTGTTTTATCCTAAATCCTCTGGAATGATGGTCAATTACTGAATTGATCAGACTTGCTCAGTCTTTCAAAGTTATCTTTGCAATATTGTTGTTACTTGGATAAATTGTCCTCCTGGTTCTTCTCACTTCACTTTGTATCAGTTCATAAAAGTCTTCCAAGGGTTTTCTGAAACCACCTCCTTTATCGCTTCTTACAGCACAATAATATTCCCTCCCTTTCACATGCCATAACTGGTCAAGCCGCTGCCTGATTGATGGGCATCCCTTCAGTCTCCAATTCTTTGCCACCACAAGCGTTGCTATCCATGGTGTTGTACATAAGGGTCCTTTCCCTTTTTCTTAGATTTCTTTGGGGGTGTAGACCTAGTAGTAGTGTCACTGGGTGAAAGAGTATGGACAGCTACATAGCTTTGGGAGGATGGTCCCAAATAATGGAAGGAGCTTTGGAAGGGGTAGACAAAACACAAAAAAGAATGGTGGCCAGGATGGTCCTGAAAATAATAGGGATGGAGTGATTTCTAGGTGGAAGGAATAGAATTTCCACACTGGAAGGTATGGCAGAGGTCATCTAGTTTCAACCCTCTTAGTATCACAAAATGTTAGAGGTGAAAGGGACCTTGGGAAATATTCTGCTCCAACCCTCTTTTGCATTTGCAGATGGGGAAGCTAAGGTGGGAAGAATGGGAGGGTGGTGTTTTCCAGGTCACAATGGGAAAGCCAGGGCAGCCCAGATGGGGCCATTGAGGGGCAATGGCCAGTGAAGCTCTCAGAGAATCCCTCTTCCCTTGTGTCTGTTAGTAGGGGATAAAGTGGCGCTTGACTTTTTCCAACTGTTTCCATTTCTTAGTTTTCAATTCACTCAAAGCAACATATCATTACTTGAAAATTAGGGGGCCTTCCCTCAGAGCCTTGGCAGTAACTCTGGTCTGGGAGGTGGGAGTGAAGGCCTGGGAAAGTGATTCAGAAACCTTGGCACAAGCACACGGATGGTATTCACCTTCACTAGTCCTAATAAAAACCCTGTGCTGGTGGCAGAAAACCAAGTAGCCCCAGAACACCAATGGGGACTGACCCCTTATATACCCTGACTGCCTTCTGCACCAGCCAATGGAAATGGTTCTCTGGGCTCCAGCCTGGCCACTTCTAAGAGGTCCTGGGCAGAGTTCCTCCCTTTCCAGGGTCTCAGCTGCTAAATGAGGGGGTTGTATTGGTGATCTTGAAGGTTCATAAACTTCAGTGATTCCCTGACTCTAGTGGATAAATTAAATCATTTTAAAGCTTGCCCCTAAGGGAGTTTAGATTTTCTGGAAGGATTAGAATCAAAGCACTCAGAGCAGCAGTGGACCTGAGGATACAGAATGTCAGAATTGGGAAGGATTTTAGAATATGTAATGTCAGAACTGGGAGGGGTCTTAGAACACAGACTATCAGAGTCGGGGAATAACATAGAATATCAACTCTGGGAAGGGCCTGAGAATGTCAGAGTTGGGAGGGATCCAGGCACACAGAAGGTTGGAACTGGAAGAAGCCTTAGAGATAATCTAGTCCAATCGTCTCATTTTACAGATGAGAAAACTGAGGCTTAGAGAAGTTTAGCGTCTAATTCCAGGTTATCTAGTTAGTAATTGGCAGAAACAGGATCTGAACCCTGGTCTTTTGACTCTGAGTCCAGTGCTCTTCCCACAACATTTTTCTGCCTCTCGGGCTGTGCATCTTTTGTGAAAAATGCAGGTGCACCTGAAATTGAAAGGATCTGAGCCCTGTGACATTTCTAGGCCCAGGCTAGGGGGAAACTGGCTGCCGTCCAGAGTTTATGTGGTTAAGAAGGGACAAGGAGGACTGCTCCAGGGAATTGCAGGTTTTATTGCTGGGGACATCATTGACAGAGAAAGATGATGAAAGCTTAAGTCTGAGCCTTTGATCTCCTTCAAATTATAACTGGAGTCTCAGCTATGGCGCCTCGACCTGGCCCCTACTGCTGGAGGGAATGTCTGCTTACCATTTGCTGTATGTTCAAGACATTTCTCTATTAACTTTTTTGGGGGTGGGGACTCAGCTCCTAAATGGGCTGGGGACAGGTGGCCAGGTGGTAAGGACTCCTAGCTAAGAAAAGGCATCAGCTGTTCATTGGCTTCAGGGGTTATCTCAGTTCAGCCAATGAGATCAGGGCTGGGGGTGGTTCACCAAGGGGCTTTAGTTTGAAGAGGAGGAATATCCTGGGGGACTGGTGAGGGAGGGGCCTGTAATTCCAGGACATTGAAGGAATTATGGAAGCCTCTTCTTGTGGTTTACGGAGACATTCCCTGCCTCTTTCTTTCTTTTCCTCTTTCTGTTTCTCCCTCTCTTTCTGTTTATCTTTCTTACTATTCTTCTCTCTCTCCTCTTTCTGACCCCCTTCTCTCCCCTCCCTCCCTGCCCACATAATCCTCTTTTTACAGACTTACCATGAAAAAAATCCCATTAAAGTCTTATAGTCTTCTCTTTCACTATTGTGAGAGGCTTGAAAGTCCTTCCCAATGCTTGACCTCTTACTACCGCTGACTCTCTCTCTCTCTCTCTCTCTCTTCCTCTCTCCCCATCTCCTTCTTTCTGTTTCTGTCTCTCTATCCTTTTATCTGTCTCTCTCTGTCTGTGTCTCCATCTATCTCTGTCTCACATTCAAGGCCTTACCTGTGCGGATGTAAGACTCATGACACGTCTTTGTGATCTGGGCAGCAAGCTCCATGTAATGCTTCCTCTTCCCCATTTCTGCATCTTCAGCCCCCAGGGCGATCATGCCACCAGAGAAACATGCCAAGTGTCCCATCTTGTGGTCCAGGACACCCCCTTTCCACTCGGCGATGTAGGTCAGTCCCTCCTGGGATTTCTGTAGCAAGTGGGTTTCTATTGCCTGAAAGGAAATTGGGAGAGTTTGGAGGGGCCCAAGGAAATGGAGGGGGCCAGGGAAAAGGAGTTTGGGAAGAAGGAGAGGGAGCCAATTATTTTGTATATTTCAGTAAATGATAATGAACCAGGCCTAGACATATGTGACTGACTAACCCCCCAGAAACAGCCTGCCTGTGACTTTACCAGCTTCAGACTCCAATGACAAACTAGAAGCCAATAGCATGGCTGCCAGGAGCTGTTCACAGCCGATCTGTGGATTCACCTTGGAGTGTTTTTCCTCTATTAGGAGAAACTAGGGCCTCTGGACCCATTTTGAGGCCATTAGCAGAAAGAACCAACTGATGGTAAAGCTCTGTTCCAAACCTAATGGGCCCCCAAATGCTCATGAACTTAAAATCACAGATTTAGAACTCGAAGGGGCTTTAGCGGTCATCCAGTCCAGCCCTCTCCTTTTTCCAAACGAGGAAACCGTGGGCCAGAGCAGGTAAGCACTCTCTCCACAGTGGAGTCAGGGGCAGAGTTGAGATTCTAACCTGGATTCTCAGACTCCAAACCCCACCATATTTTCAGTGCACGTAGGATTTTATAGCTAGGGGCTCTTAGGGGTCATTTATGTTCTGGTCAAACTGGACTGTCTGAAACGGATGGTGAAATGCCACGGGGGAACGAGCCATGTGCAAAATCCTTCTCAGCATCCAGCAATGAAAGGACCTGGGCTTACTGTTGACCCCCGTACCACTTAGAGGCCTTCTCTTCTGCCTCTTTAGGAAAACTATTTTTAGGAGCTACAAGAAAGGAGGCAGAGTCTGAATTTGCTTAGAATACAAAAGATGGGCTTAAAATTGGCGATGTTACCATCCACAAGCTATGGCTTATCATCACATCACTGAAGGAGGAGGAAAGGAAGTCAGTGAAATTCAGCGTTGGGGGAATTCAGACAGAATGGATCACTCGTGTCCAATTACCCAAACTGGACGAACTATCTCCTGCCTTTGTAAAGGCTGTGCCCTCCTGTCTGGAATGAACGTCCCCCTTGACCTCTGCTTTTCAGAATCCTTCTTCAGGACTCAGGGTTGGCATCCACCCCTCGGTGCTGCTTACCTTGGTCCCTTACATTAGCAGGAATTCATCCCCCCTTAAATATTCCTCAAGAACTTGGTGAGAGTCTCTGCCCTCATCTCTTTGTACCTCATATTGTACTTATCCAGGTACAAGCTCTGTCTCCCTAGTCCATACTGTTCCCCACCCCACCCTACCCCTACCTCTAATAGAATGCAAACTCCTCGAAAGAAGGGACTAATTGATCAATGTTTTTGTTCCCTGAGCACCTATTGTGGTGGCTGGCATAATGGGTGTACGGTCATAGCATTCTGCAGTATGGGCTTGCTTCTATCCTATGCCTCATGCTGGGCTATAAGCTCCCTGAGGGCAGGAACCACAGCTGCCCTTGGCTTTAGAATGTCCTTTTGGATTCTAACACATACCCAAATATACTCACGCAGAGCACGTGGTCAAAAGTCATCAAGTCAAGAAGCATTTATTAAGCACCTACTATGCACCAGGCACTGTGCCAAGTAGCACTGGGGATGCAAAGAAAGGCAAATCCATTATCACTGGTATGAGATTAGAGATTGAGGTCTTTGCTGGTCTAGGCGCTCATCAGTGCTCACCTCCTTTCCTAAATTCCTGCCTGGAGTGTGAGCTGGGGATAGTCAGTCTAGAAGCATGACCCCCTGAGGGGGCAGCTAGATGACCACTGTCTTCCCAGTATTAAAATGTCCTGTGGAACAAGGATCCTACCTCTACAGCTGCAAAAGACCTTTGAGGTCATTTAGTCATCTCTAATAATAAAAGCTAGCATTTAAATAGTGCTTTAACGTTCACAAAGTACTTCACACATGTCCTTATTTATCTGATCCCCACCTGTGAGTGGGGATGTTCTTATTAGCTCCGTTTTACAGATGAAGGAACTAAGACTGAGGAAAGTGTAGTGACTTGCCTAGGACACTCAGCTAGCTAGTGTCTGAGGATTCGAACTCAAATCTTTCTGACTCCAAGTCCAGCACTCTATCCACCAGACCCCTAAGGTGTCTCTAGTCCAACCCCCTCATTTTACAAATGAGAAAACCACGTCTCATTCAAGTTAAGTGATTTCTCCCCCAATCCTCCACCGAGGGCACCCAGGTAGTGACAGAGGTAGCATTTGAACCCAGATCCTCTGACTCTGAGCATTTTCCTTCTACTGTACTACATTTCTTCTGCTTGGTCCCACAGGACAGGAGAGAGGCAGTTTCAGTGAGCCAGTCAACAAGCATTTATTAAGCACTGACTGTTTGCCTAGCACTGTGCTAAGCATTAGAAACATGAAGAAAGGCAAAAGAAAGGCCCTGTCCTCAAGGCACTCAAGTCTAAGAAGGAGACACATGCCAATAACTATGTGCAAACAAAATAATTACAGGGTAAACTGGAGATACCAGTAGCTAGCTTGGAGTCGGGAAGACTCATCTTCCTCAGTTCATATCTGGCCTCAGACACTAACTAGCTGTGTGACCCTGGGCAAGTCACTTCATACTGCTTGCCTCAGTTTCCTCATCTGTAAAATGAGCTGGAGAAGGAAATGGCAAAACACTCCAGTATCTCTGCTAAGAAAACCACAAGAGAGGTCATGAGGAGTCGGGCACAACTCAACAACAATAACAAATCAGAGATAATCAACCACATCTCAGTATGAAGAAAAACTTCCTAATAGTCTGAACTGTCTCACTGCAGAAAAATCTGCCTTTGGAGGGAGGGAGCTCCCCATCATTGGATATGAAAACAGAGGCCGGATGATGGCTTATCAGCAATGTTGTAGAGAGGCTTTACCCCTTGGGAAGGCACCGTTAGCCTTCCAATTAGAGGAGAGTCTTGGGGACAAGGAAAAATACATGTGGCGTCATTTTCTCTCCACTAAAGCAGCGTGCAGAGGCTTCCATTTGCTTGGCACATTAAGGAAGGGAAGAGCACCAGGCGCTGGCAGACAATTAGGCTGGCCACACTTTGGTGCCTTTGGGTGGTCTGAATTGTTCATAGGGCAAGAGAGGGACCTAGGCAAGACTCGGGAGGTTGGGCAGAGACAGTTGGAGAGTGGAAAAAACCACTGGATTTCCAGTCAGAGGACCAGGGTTCAAATGCCATTTCTCCTTATTCTTACCTGGGTGGCCTTGTGCAAAGACACTTACCCTCTCTGGGCCCCAGTGTCCTCATTTATAAAATGAATCAACCTCTAAGGTCCATCCCAACTCTAAATCTCGAATCCTATGATCCTCAATAACATTCTCCAGGGTCTGAATCTTCTCACAGGTACATGTGAATAGATGACCTCTAAAGTCTTTCCCAGCTTGAAATTGAATATCCTGTGAGCTGAAATCACTTAATTGTGCTATTTTTTTCATCTGTAGAATGGAGGAGAAGGGGAGTTGCACCAGAAATTCAGCTGCATTGTCTAGAATTAGCTCCCTAACCCTGGGACTTCCCATGCCAAGACTCCCTTCATTGGTCATCACTCAGTGCCCATTGGCCTCCATGGGTCTTGACTTCCTCATTTGGATGTTTGTTCTTTGAGAGCAGGGCCTGTCTCAGTTTTGTATTTGTATTCATAGCATTTAGCGTAGTGGCTAATACACAGTAAGAAAATAAGCCCTTAATGTCTTTCTTTCTTTCTTTCTTTCTTTCTTTCTTTCTTTCTTTCTTTCTTTCTTTCTTTCTTTCTTTCTTTCTTTCTTTCTTTCTTTCT